CGATGTTCAAGGATGAAATCTGTGGTCGCACACTGGTCGTTCGGTCGCAAATACGTCTTCAGAGTGTCATACTTTGGTGGTTTATATAGCTTTAACCTCTGGTCGTAGAAAGTTAATCCGAGGTTTAGCGTGTAGAATAAATGCCAATGCACCTAACGTGAAAAAATTAACGGGTTAGAAATATTGGTTTTTGTTTTATAGCGGTTTGAATGAAATCGTCCGCAGACTGGCTACACCACTTTATGTAAATTCAAATGAACAATGAAGCATATATGCACTCCATCCCTCAGTCCCTGGTACAGTGAAAACTGATTTGTAAAGTGAAACGCTAAGTTGAAAGTGAAAACCCTATGTTCTTTCTGTATTCCTGTACCGGTATACTGTAAATACTGTTCACGCTTGCTCATAAAACCTGATTTAATTAAGGAACTTTTATACAATTACAGAATTATTAAAATGGTGTGGAAAACAATTCTTATTTTCTATTACAATTATATATTTCATTCTAATTTATTTTTTACTTATACATTTTTTTATTTACTATATACAGATATAATCTATCTAAAGCTTCTCACTTTTTTCCTAACTTTATTAAAGCCCTGTCGCCTGTGGTTGTGTGTGTGTGCGTGTGAAATGATTCAATAATTTTAGGTGAGTGAACAGGGTAACAGGGTACTGGTACGTAACACTTCTTTATGGCAAAACCTTCCATCTTATATTCTGTACGTTTTAAACCTAATCCAATCATTGTATCGCCTTTTATGCTGATTACCGGTACGGTATGGGTATGGAGTCCAAATAAACTTATCTTATTCACAAATTTATGCAATCCCAAACTCCAAAGCACTCACGGGGTGAAATAAGATTATGAATGCAATATATTTAAGATATCGACATAGGAAACTGGAATTATATAATAATATTGCCATTTGCGATACCGTACATAAACCTGTCAGTCAGACGAACTGCAGCTAAATACCAGCAAAGGCAACGGTCTAAAAGCAAATATCTGAATATAGACGATATGCACACGCCCTCAGCACAAAATTTCTGGCAACCCGTATCCTCGCAACGATAAAGCGCAGATCACGAGACTTGGTAATGGTAAGTAAGGTTTAATTTGTGAGCTTGGGCAAGTGTGGTCAGGTGAAATTCGAAATTCTCATCAAAATCAATGCGCGCTTATATGAATACTTCTAAGTGAATTTTGGTTTCACAGTCAGTGGGTACGTCATAGAAAGGATTATTTTGCGCATGATAATAAAACTATTACATCTGATTGACATCGCCCGAATGCACATCAAATAAGCAAGCGAAAAAAAAGATGTACCAATACGGGCCCAAACTGGCCAAATTACATTCTTCACACGATACAAAGTTGATTTAATGCTCTTGAGCCCGTATATTATTCGAGATGTAGTGTGAAGGGCCGTGTTTGAAGAGGGTGGTTCCTTTACCCCAGGATAAATATGTAAATCCTATCCTACATATTTATCCCGGGGAAGGAGAAAGTCCATGAGGCGGCTTAATCATATGGCGAACCACGGTCTCTCGTGGGTTCATATCGGGTATGGGATTAGTTAGCCAGTTACCGGTATTTGTTTCAGTGCATGCACTTGAATTATATATTTGAGCTTTAAATAAGAAGGGGGTGTTTGAAATTCTAGTGAAAGGTGTAGGAAAATCACTGTAACAGACGATCGATAAAGGTAGCGTATTGCACTGATTAATAAAAACGCACTTCTGAATAAGACATCAATACATATCTGTTTTACGCTTTATTCTTTCGTTTTACGCTTTATTCTTTCGGTATGTGAGAAAATAAACTTCTGGCTGACGGATATCTCCGGCGCGTTTCTCGATCAAAATACGAGAGAACATGTTTGTATACCGCATTACGAACAACCGCGATCGACCGGTCCCATGGTGTAACGGTTAGCACTCAGGACTCTGAATCCTGCGATCCGAGTTCAAATCTCGGTGGGACCTTCATTTTCATACTTACAGTTTTAAACTTTCATTTTATCGCTATTTCACAATGGGATGATAGCTCAGCTAAACATCAGCGTAAAGATACAATTTAATTTTTAAGAAACGAAGCAGTTATTTTAGCAGTTCCCTTTTGTTATTTATTTGATTATGCAAAACGGAGCAATTTATTCGCAAATGCTGAAAGAGTACGTACACGGTATTATTTTTCATAACAACAGGACTACACAATAAATAGGAAATATGATTTGTATGCCTATGCCACGTTCGAATATAAATTTTCCATCTGGACTTCAAGGCAGCAGCAGATTTATCATTCGTATTTTTTGCCGTTATGAGTAATTTTGGCTCCAATTCTAACCAAAAAAATATTTTAGGATATCCCAAGACATCACTTTGAAAAGTATAAGAACAAAAGCCAAAATAGTATTTCGCCGATTAAATATTATTTTATTCATTGATCAGATATAAATCTGGCAACCACAAAGTTAATATTTTGGCGCGCAATTTTTTAATCTGGTTCAGGGTCAAGGCAGAGGTTTAGGGTATTTGAGCTTTTCATTGATTTAACCTCACAGTCACAAGAACTAAACATATGAATGGATTAACATTGGGACGTATAACTACGCCTGTGTGAGATATGATGGCAAAAATGCGACAACAGATTGAAAGCAGGTATTTAGTATTATTTCCTATGGGTACGGCAACCTTTTACTTTCGCCATCCTACCGGTACTTTATGCCATATGGCCCTGTGTGTTTGTATTGTAACTATTAGTACCGTGTTTCCCCGAAAATAAGACCTACCCTGAAAATAAGACCTAGTCTGAATTTTATAAATGATTTTAATATAAGCCCTTCCCATAAAATAAGACCTAGTCGATAGCAAGAAATGTCTCTTACTAGTTTTAAATGATTAATCTAAAACGCAATAAAAAAGAAAACGTGTTATTTATAAGTAAACGGGTATCGGTTTTCATATTTATAATTTATATATTTTAAAATCTCGTAATTTTCTTCTTTGTAATTTTGTTTTTGATAAATAAAAATAAATGACATCCCTCGAAAATAACCCTAAAGGTATTTTTGGAGGAAAATTGAAAATAAGACCCGGTCTTATTTTCGGGGGAACACGGTACCACGGCGGAGTTCAAATTAAATTATTTTGGTGGCTTGTCTGTGTTTAGTTTTCTATTGAAGCGTGATTGGTCAGAATGATAGCGCCTTAGTAGGATAGTAACAATGCTTTTATGTTACATTTTATTGATCACCGATTAGAATGATGGCAAATTGTATAAATCGCCATAACAAGAATAGAACTTTTCTTTTACGTCCTTTTTTGCAGTTATATTTGTAGTTTTTCATTCAAGGTTCAATTGGTGCCACTGCTAAAAGCCTACCGTTATATGTCGCTATAGTATTATCTTGAATTATTATCGCTTTATAGTAGCATCCGAGTGTTGTTGTTTTTATCCCGGGGGAAAAGAGAATCCGAAAATGCGGCTTAATTATATGACATATACCACGGCCTCTCCAGGATGAGATTAGTTAACCAGATATTTCTTTCAGTTGCATAGACATGATGGTAAAGGCACCCCCCTCGTCCATCACCACCTACGGCGGCGATGAATCCAGCAATCCTCTGGCACAAAATAACCCCCTACGGGTTCGAACCTCAGAACTCATGCATGGTAATCAAAAGTAAAATGCCAACGTGCTGCTAACGCTTAGCACAATGCGCCAACCGCCTAGGGTAGTATATAGTAAGGTGTGTACGGTCTTTCCCAACCCCAACCTCACTACGCCATTAGAAAATTTTGCTACAACACGTAACAGAGCTTGCCAAAGTGTATAAACAATCGCCGTATGGGCACCAACGACCAAAATACAAAGTCACATTCGCTAGCGAGCCATCGACTGGAGATCATTACGTAGATCTCAAATAACAATCGACGAACGATCACGAAGCATAAATAGAGCATTATAGCGTGAATATTCAGGCATAATATTTTTAATTCATGGTTTAGAGGTTTTCTCATATGCGGCTCTACGATTTTGCTCAGCAAAACACTAGCCAAATAAATTCAGGAACATTAATTTTAATATAGAGATGGGTGTTGTATAACTATAATACTTATAAAGACTGGTACTCCCATAGTATGTGCAACAAGATGGCGGACACCGGAACGTAGTATGTGTATCAGGCTAGGGTTAGGCCATGATTTCAGGTACAAATACTACAGAAGTCACTTGGCTAGTCCCCGAACTCGTAATATAACTAAAATAAGAGGTGTAATAAGAAAATTCAGGTGTCCGCCATCTTGTTGTTTAGAACAGGGCCACTCAACTGGCGGACCGCGGTCCGAATCCGGACCTTTCGAGTATTTGATTCGGACCGCACCTAATTCTTTATTTTAGATCATTAGCCCCACTTTTAAAGTTTCCTTTTATAAAATGACTCTTGTAGTTTTGAATATATATGAAAAGAATTATAACACCATAATAAGCAATTTTGATTAGCTAATAATCATTAGCCGGTCAAGGAAGTGTGCTTTTTTAAGGATGCCGATATATAAATACTGGAAAGACCGGACCCAAATAATTTTGAAGTTTTGTATGCGGATCTTCGGTAAAAATAGTTGAGTAGCCCTGGTTTAGAATAGGTAGTGAGTGACTACGCGTAATTGAAAACCTGGGATTATTCATTATTTCTCCGTCGGTCTGCAGCCTTTATTCATGAACATATAGGTCATAAATCATATTTATTCATAATACTACCAAAAATCAGTTTTTGTGACAACTACTTCTTCAACAAAGCATATATTATTACATTACATGATATAGCCTACTGACTTTAACTATAGAACAGATTGAGATTTTTCAGTTTCGCAGTTTACATTTTGGTATCAATCAATCAATCAATCAATCATTTATTTTGTCATCACAAAAAAACACGTTCAAACATGAAGTGACATAATGAATAAATTACAGTACGAATCATGTTTTTGTGTGACCGGAGTCGCGAGGGACCTAAGAAGGTCTTCAAGCAGCGACACCTACAGCGCTACAGGTTAGAATAAATATAATTGAATGAGGGATAAAATGAATAAATCCTAGGAATAAGTCACAGCTGATACAATTACAGCGACATTCGAAGTGTATGCGATTATGACACAGTAAAACAGAAAATGTCACTTTCACGGAATAATTACTAACAACTAATAAAAACGCGAGGAAAGCAAGATAAAAGCACAGAAAAATTATAGGAAGGGCAAGTTTGGCGGAATATGCAACTAAAAGCAATATAGGGCAAACAGTAAATCGAAAATATTTACAGCAAATGCAATTTAGGAGACACTTACAAAAAATTGATAAGGTCTAATGAGGAATACAAACAAACTATTACATCTATATAATGTACATAATAAAGAGGAAAAGATAAAACGGCTTGGTCATTGAAAATAATACGTCTAATATGGTACGTCTATTAATTTCGATTAGTTTTGAGTTTTATTCTTTCTCCAGCCATTCTTATCCCACGACTTGGTTACAATCTGCCGTGACATCTTTTCCCTAGTAGGTGTACCTTGCCGTGCACCCATTACAAGATCGAACTGTACAATTTGCATACGGATAATTCGGGCACTTAATATGTTGACATACAACTGGACATCCAAGAACCGGAATCTCTCCAGGACCACATGCTGCACCTAAAATAAATCAAAAGATAAATTAGGAATTATACCATTTGAAAACAACTAACATCACAGCTTCATGAGTCATGAATCATATTATCATATTCATGAACGTTTGGCCTGATCGGCTATCACTCAGAAATCCCACATTAAGATTCAATGGAGCGCATTAGTACAGTATAACAAATATTAACAAGCATTGCCAATGCTACTTATTAATTGATCAACTTCAAAGACCAGAAATTACGTGAAGCCGCTTATCCCCGGCTAACCTCATGTTTCAATATTTTAAAGTTCTTTATTTTCATCATTTTGTAAGTTGCTCTTCCACGAATAATGTAAAACAAACACAATGCTATTGACCAGCGCCTGTGTAGTTGTAGTTTCACTCTTCAAACCGATTACAACCGAAACTAAGGATGTTTAGAGGTTTCAACTGTTTAAATTTCGTTTCCCGAAGCCGAGGGTTGGCCTCTGAGCTAATCGTTTATGATTCTCAGTTTAATGAAATAATGCCCATTGTCCAGCCTTATGCTTTTCTATTTAATTGTAGAATCTTGTTTAGTTTTTGGTACCTAAGTTTACTGGTTGTCTTTTTTGGCATGTAACTTGTTTTCCTGTATAAATATCCATCCAATAGGCCTGGCATCTTCCACACTGAGTCACGCGGCGTCTAGCATTCGGATGACCCGGGCACACCAATGGTCTTCCATATATGTCGAAACATTTTTCTTTAGAGCAAGGGCTGTATATCTGATAACCTGGGTCGCATTTGCCTGTAACACATGATTGTTTCGGCTCGTTTAAACGTTGAATTATGTAGTTTAAAATGTTGCTTCATCTGCTATTTGCGACTCAATTTCGGGGGTCTCAGTTCACGTAATGAAAAATATAGGAACTGATTCGGCAAGGACTAGTGCCCTACTAACTATTGATGCCAGAAAAGGCGGATGCTTAGAGCAGAGTTTTCCAAACTTTTTGGGCCGCGGACCCCTATTTGAGAATTCTAATTTTGACGGACCCCCGCGCTTTGCCGTATCAATTTTAGTGGTTAACCGACGAGTAAAGATAATGTTTCATTCACAACACAAACGACATTATGTGATGAATTAGGTTGGTTTTCACTGCACAATTTTTCGATTCTCGGAGCAATTTGTGACAAGCAAACCTATAGATCGGACGGCAAGGGTCGACCAGTATTTTGTCATCAAATTATAAGAGTGAAAATGCTGCCTCACGAATGTAGGTCGTTGCAAAAGGATTCTAATTGCCTTTTATGAGAGCAATGGATATTCGTCCGCAACGCCCAACTAAAAATATGCAATTCCTCTTTAATTGAAATCAATCATTAGATATCGATCAGACTTTTTCATGTCGTTGCGGACCCCCTCTGCAGTTGTCACGGACCCCCGGTAGTCCGCGGACCCCAGTTTGGGAAACCCTGGCTTAGAGTATTGAAAATATATTTATTTGCTTGTTGTTTTATTGACGACAACCTATCGTCTGTCGTTAAATGGCGAGTATCAGCAACAGCGCCTCGACTACCCAGTCCCCCGCGTCTTTGTCAGACACTTTAACGAGACAAGATAGTGTCTTTATTTATCAGCTTCCAACTTACGATAGAGGTACAATACGATAAATAAATAGAGAACAATGACAAATTTATATACTAAACAACCAACGCATGAAAATGTTCACGCTTGGACCTGAGATGAATTATATTAAAACTGGATAGTTGTGGTGAAATGCCTCGAGGCTCCAAATTGACTTGTTTGACTTCGTTTCGTATTAATGGCATTTTTCAATGGTCAATCGCCGATTAAGATCGTAAATTTCCCACCAACAGTACATTCCTAGAACCAAGTATACTTACAATATTGCGTGATGCTTTTTCCAGTGTGTTGATCACGGATATTGGCGCCGCAACCTTCTATATTTGGTTCACAAATTGCACCGAGGTTCCTTGAACAAATACATCGGTTTGGTGGACAACCAATTGGTGCCACTGGTATTATTGGCGACACTGGATAAATTGGGGATACCGGACAAATTGGGACTACTGGTACAATGGGAACTGCTGTAGCTACAGGAGGTCGCTGTCGGCGAGCGGACAAAAGCAGCGCAATTAATGCAAGGGTTGGCTTCTTTCCTGGTGGTTTTGGATCTGAAACAAAAACAGGTTCTTATGAGTTAATTTTTTTTTGTTTCGAAAAGTCAAGCCCACTACCAACAGCCTTTTTAACATAAATAGCTCATTTCCTCATAACCCACCCAAATTCCCAATTTCACAGATTGCCCACTCTACACATAATCGCATTTCGCCAACGCACGGAAACGAGAGAACAATATTTTTCAAGCCTTCACTGGCGTTGTTTAGTCTTTTTTTAAAAGTAATGTTGAGTAATTTTTCATCCAACTAACTCAAGTTGAGAAATATCGCTAAATTAACTTAAGTCGGTCATGCCTTGAATTGCTTACCTGAAAGATCCACACAAGCCGTTCCACAACCTGTAGAACAGCATACTTCATAGTCTTCACAATCGTCAGCTTCCGTACAAGTCGGGTCTTCAATCTCATTACACGGTTCCATTATCTTTGAACCCTCGTACATTTGAACCCGTACATCTGAACCCGTAATTTGAACCCAGAACAATTGCACCTGTTTACTATTGCACCTATGGACATTTGCACCTACGGACATTTGAACCCATACATTTCCACCCATGGATTTTAGCACCCGCATATAGATTGAACCCGCGGACATTTGAACCCGTGTACGTTTGCACCCGCGTACATTTGAACCCATGTACATTTGCACCCGCGGACATTTGAACCCGTGTACATTTGAACCCACGAACATTTGCACCCTCGGACATTTGAACCCATGTATATTTCCACCCACAGACATTTGAACCCACGTATATTTGAACCCGCGTACATTTGAACTCGCGTACATTTTCACAAAAAAATGTTTGCCCCAACGGCAATTTCCAGTCGCAAATATTTTTCATGTTACAGGCGCAAGCTCAATGTTCTAAATTTAAACACTGTTTCACTTGTAGTTAGTTTTGGTGTATATGCATTTACCAGCTTCTACGAAGCAAGCATTTTTGAGTGTCATTGTAGTCCGAGGGATAAACGTCTCTGCCGAGGTCTTTTTTCTTTTGCTGTTTTTTTTACATTGACATTTGTAAATCCTTATCTCATTCGTTAGCCGCGATCTCCAAAACAGACGATGACCTAGAAAGCGGTATTTCGTTGAAATACCTGAAACCAGGGCTAATACGGAACAAATATCTCACAGACCAATGAAGTCTTAAATGAGGGGTTTACTAAAACTAGCTTTACAGTAATATTTTTAGTGGTCAACTCCTATAAATTTGTTCTGTAATTATTGCACCGAAAACGCTTACTATGATATCCCGCCCAGCATGAGATTTGGGAGCCCTGTGGCCACTTCATGTTTTCTTGCTAGCATGTTCACAAATTTGTTATATGTATGCATACACGACCATGCTTTGCTGTTGAAAATGAGTGTTGTCTCAAATCAGGTTTTGCCATTTTTCCTAAAACAAATCTATAAATTGAATACTATTGTCTGTATATAAATAAATAAACGCACAGATTCTTCGTTTCTAAGAAAATATGAAATTAAGATAATGAAACTATGCCATTTTTGTAACAACATGTTCATAGCCAAATGCCAGTTTTATTGAAGTATTGTTTCATTAGAATGTCAGAACAAAACTATACATAGAAATCGTAAGTCATGTAAATATGTTGAATATTCGAAAGTGAAGAAGTTTTAAAATCATTATCGTGGCCAAAAATGGTTTTTGCTGTTTACACTATTTAGAGTAAATCGAACATATTCAGCATATAGGGTCTGTTAAATATGATATTGCAATTTACAAACGACGTCATAGGTTACGGATTACATTTATTTTAATATCTCAATAAAGTTATCACTCACAAATTTGTGTCGAATGGGCGATCAATTTTGAGATAGAGTAGCTATGGACGTTTTACAAAATAGGAATTTATCAATTATGATACAATAGTTAAACAACAAATCAAAACTAGAGCTGCGTGCAGCTTTAACAGGCTTCCCGCGTAAAAAAAACTGAAGACGCGTTTTGCTCACTGGAGCGTGAAAGCGTGGTCAGTCATGCATAAAATTTATTTAATGCAATTTATGATGGGGGACTTATTATCTGCATGTGATGTAAATTTCAAGTCTCTAAGTAGGGTCGTTCTCAAGAAGAAGATGAAAATGTAAAATCCTATATTGCTCACTGGAGCGTATCGCCGAGGTCACTCATGCGTATCCTTGACATGTCGTATCCGGAACATGTCCAATAATCATTGTTATGAATTTCAACCCAATAGCATGTATCAATTTTGAGAAATCGCAAAAAAACTGAAGACGCGTTTTGCTCACTGGAGCGTGAAAGCGTGGTCAGTCATGCATAAAATTTGCAATTTATGATGTTGGACCTATTATCTGCATGTGATGTAAATTTCAAGTCTCTAAGTAGTGTCGTTCTCGAGGAGAAGATGAAAATGTAAAATCCTATATTGCCCACTGGAGCGTATCGCCGAGGTCACTCATGCGTATCCTTGACATATCGTATCCGGAACATTTCCATTAATCATTGTTATGAATTTCAACCCAATAGCATGTATCAATTTTGAGAAATCGCAAAAAAACTGAAAACGCGTTTTGCTCACTGGAGCGTGAAAGCGTGGTCAGTCATGCATAAAATTTGCATTTTATTGCTAGCTGAGAACTTCTGCACATTTAAGGTGAATTTCAAGTTTGTAGGACCAATTTGAAAAAAAAAAATAATAATAATAATAATAATAAATAACTAGAGCTGCGTGCAGCTTTAACAGGCTTCCCGCGTAAAAAAAACTGAAGACGCGTTTTGCCCACTGGAGCGTGAAAGCGTGGTCAGTCATGCATAAAATTTGCAATTTATGATGGGGGACTTATTATCTGCATGTGATTTAAATTTCAAGTCTCTAAGTAGTGTCGTTCTCGAGAAGAAGATGAAAATGTAAAATCCTATTTTGCTCATTTGAGCGTATCGCCGAGGTCATTCATGCGTATCCTTGACATATCGTATCCGGAACATGTCCATTAATCATTGTTATGAATTTCAACCCAATAGCATGTATCAATTTTGAGAAATCGCGAAAAAACTGAAAACGCGTTTTGCTCACTGAAGCGTGAAAGCGTGGTCAGTCATGCATAAAATTTGCAATTTATCATGGGGGACTTATTATCTGCATGTGATGTAAATTTCAAGTCTCTGAGTATTTTCGTTCTCGAGAAGAAGATGAAAATGTGAAATCATATATTGCTCACTGGAGCGTATCGCCGAGGTCACTCATGCGTATCCTTGACATATCGTATCCGGAACACGTCCATTAATCATTGTTATGAATTTCAACCCAATACCATGTATCAATTTTGAGAAATCGCAAAAAAACTGAATACGCGTTTTGCTCACTGAAGCGTGAAAGCGTGGTCAGTCATGCATAAAATTTGCAATTTATCATGGGGGACTTATTATCTGCATGTGATGTAAATTTCAAGTCTCTGAGTATTGTCGTTCTCGAGAAGAAGATGAAAATGTGAAATCATATATTGCTCACTGGAGCGTATCGCCGAGGTCACTCATGCGTATCCTTGACATATCGTATCCGGAACACGTCCATTAATCATTGTTATGAATTTCAACCCAATACCATGTATCAATTTTGAGAAATCGCAAAAAAACTGAATACGCGTTTTGCTCACTGGAGCGTGAAAGCGTGGTCAGTCATGCATAAAATTTGCATTTTATTGCTAGCTGAGAACTTCTGCACATTTGAGGTGAATTTCAAGTTTGTAGGACCAATTTGAAAAAAAAATAATAAAAATAAATAAATAAATAAATAAATAAATAATAATAATAAAACACAGGAATACAATAGGTTCCCTGCTGACAAGCAGCGGGAAGCCTAATAATAATAAAACACAGGAATACAATAGGTTCCCTGCTGACAAGCAGCGGGAAGCCTAACAATGACGATAAACGAAATTTTACGATATCACGATCAAAGTCAAAATCAAACAGATTACATTTGAGCTATTGAGTGGAGATACCTCAGCTTGTCGGTTTCAGTTCCATATGAAAAAACTTTAACTGACAACCTAACAGCAAGTTGTACATACTTTGATTATTGGTGGGCCGTAACTCTTACATGAGCGTTTGCCGCAGTCAGTTTGTGGACCGCAATGTCTTTTCGTAGGCCATTCAGCAAACCCCATATACTCGGATGTTTGCATCGGAACATTCCTTGTAAGGCGTTGTGAAATCCTTCTACAGCGTTTGTTGTTCTTGGGGCCGAAGGCATCATTTCAATCTCTTTGGCATAGTTCCACAATCGCGGGGGAAATCTTGCTTCTCTTGGGACGTGAACCCACTTGAGGTCCACGAATGTAGGTAGATTCAAAATATTGCAAAAGTTGATTGCATTCGGGCGAATCTTCGAAGGTGTCGCAAAGCAAGGTGAAGACTTCGGCAACCTCGTTAATGGGAACAAAAGCCAGAGCTGCCAAACTTCTAATTTTCAGATTGAAAGAGGGTAAACATTCAGACTTCTCTTTTAATCCGATAGAACCAACTTTTCGAATTATAGCTTGTGACAGGTGAAAATAACATCCCTTAATATCGGCCAGAGGAAATTGTGCATGGAATGCATTGATAGCTTCTATTTCGAAATCAACAATGATTTTGGTGGGGTTAGCATTTGGGAAAATGATTTTCAACACTTCCAACATCTGAACGTATGTTTCTTGTCGCTTGTCTCGTAATAGGAAATATACGCATGGTGGATAGGATGCGCCCACTTTACAGTGAATTGTATACAACTGGAAGAAAATTTCGGGCACCACATCAAATGTACCGTCGCCAAGATATGTGTCACTATCTAGATGTGCAAGTAGTGATCGATCTCCAATGGCCATTATCCGATGACGATCCTCCGGGCCAGTGTCATGCAAAATGATATCTAAATATTCGCTCGGAATATCAAAGCTTGCACTTGTAGGATTCGTACGTGAACAATTTTTCTGTCGCCTTACTCTGCGTATATTAGCCTCCAGAGTCGACTTGCCTGACAAGCGCATTAGTACATCTGTTGATCTATTATTCAATACTTCACCTAAAATATATCTTGTCGATGTATTTGATGGTGTTGATGCTGCTTCATTTAATATTGCACGGATGATCCCAACTTCAGTCTTAATGCTGTCGCCAGAATGACTGTGATATCCTAGTTCTTTTATTACATTTTCACCGATCGTAACAACAGTCGATTTACATCGAAATTTCCTAAACTGACGGCAGCGCCAATGAGTAGCATCTGAAACCCGATCATTTTGCTTACAATATTCGTGGCCTTTGTAAATCAGTAAGTCGTTTACTCTTGTGGTCTTGGAAAATGTAGGCGCCATGTTTCCAACTTATTTTCGCAAAGGGACTTGTCATCTTCGCAGCTGCAACGTCCTGAAGAAACAGTTTGGAATTGTCTGCGAGG